ATATATATATATATATATAGAGAGAGAGAGAGAGAGTCGGAGAGAGACAGAGTCGGAGAGAGAGAGAGAGACAGAGAGAGAGAGAGAGAGAGAGAGAGACACACACACACAACATCATCTGTAACTTTTACTCCACAACTGTATGTTCCTTTCTCCTGAGCTACCAGACGTCATCCTGACAGACGTTACACATGTTCCCCATCCTCGACTGTTCCTCTGGTATTTCAAATCAATAAGAATGGGTGATGGTGACGACAACACTCGGTACCCATGTCTAAGCACGCCAGGCGAGTTAGCTATCATCTGACCCCCTGACAACAAGACAACTCGATACAGACGTCGTGACTCCTGTCTGTGAACATCCACATCACCTTATCACACTGTCAGCTTGTTCTGCCTGGTATCATGTGCTGTTGCATTTGGCAGAAAAATAGCCTATTTTGTTATCATACGTGTGTTACGATGTGTGCTTTGAGGGCAGTCCAATGCTTATATTCTTTATCAGTATTTGGAAACTTTATTGATACATGAAACTGTTGGAAGTACTATTATCATTCTGTCCGAGCTATTATCCTAACTCTGTTCGAACCATTGGTGTTCATTTTCTTGACAACCATCAGTGCCAAATACAGCCAAACAAAATTTGTTTTCTCGATGCATGAGAGTTCATTACCTCAATACAGACGAACGGTGCACTGGCCTGTGTACAACATAACCAACAGTAAATACATAATATCACCAATTTTACTGGAAAATCAGTAGGAGCTTGGGTAAAACTTACTGAACATAAAGTTAAGTTGTTCAACTGTGAATGTAGTTTGGTGGAAAATCAGTAGGATTCACTTTGAAGAGTCTTCAGTTACACACGGCGTGTCACGATAAGATTGGAGAAACTCGGTAGCACCAACTTTGGTGGAAAATCAGTAGGAGCTTGGGTAAAACTTACTGAACACAAAGTTAAGTTGTTCAACTGTGAATGTGTATTCACTTTGAAGAGTCTTCAGTTACACACGACGTGTCACGATAAGATTGGAGAAACTCGGTAGCACCAACTTTGGTGGAAAATCAGTAGGAGCTTGGGTAAAACTTACTGAACACAAAGTTAAGTTGTTCAACTGTGAATGTGTATTCACTTTGAAGAGTCTTCAGTTACACACGGCGTGTCACGATAAGATTGGAGAAACTCGGTAGCACCAACTTTGGTGGAAAATCAGTAGGAGCTTGGGTAAAACTTACTGAACACAAAGTTAAGTTGTTCAACTGTGAATGTGTATTCACTTTGAAGAGTCTTCAGTTACACACGGCGTGTCACGATAAGATTGGAGAAACTCGGTAGCAGGTTCCTAACTTTTGCAGCATATTGGGCTGTCAGTTGGGGCTTTGTGCACACTTTGGATTAGAAAACATCAGCGGACCCTTACAGCATGGGCATGCTACTCTGTCGCAACGTGCATTGGTGCTATGAGTGTTTCGGTGCTGTGTCTCTCCACGGTCTATCACAAACAGTTCCTTATGGCTCGAAGTGGTCTTGTCTGTGCTGACATCTTGCACGCTGTGTGTTAATGGTTCAGGTTTATTGTTCAGTACCTATGATAAAACTTATACAACGTCATTGATGTTCGATTTCTCCGTTTCAAAAACAAAAAAACAATTCGGATACGGGAAAAGTATATAAAACAAGACAAGAAAGTGACAAGAAATCTCTGCTTTATCTCTGAAGTCACATATATAGTGATTCTGGCTTTTCGTGATGAGTTGAGCACATCCTGCCACACTGGTGAGCATGAGTTTAAACTCTTCAAAAGCCTTGCTCAGGAACTGATAGCTATCACCCTGCTGAAAAACCTGTTAGCAATGATCGTATGACACTCATTGAAATCATCGTACAAAGAGCACCCGGGAAGACCCGGTTTAGAATTGATCTTCAGCAACCCATGCTTGTCGCAGGAGGCGACTAACGGGATCGGGTGGTCAGGCTTGCTGACCTGGTTGACACATGTCATCGTATCCCAGTTGCGTAGAACGATGTTCATGCTGTTGATCGCTGGATTGTCTGGTCCAGACTCGAATATTTACAGACTGCCGCCATATAGCTGGAATACTGCTGAGTGCAGCGTAAAATTAAACTCACTCACTCACTCGTACAAAGAGCATGTTCCATTCCACCTAAGAAGACAAATGTAGACGCCAAAGGCTGGAGCTGGCGGAACCAGCTCGACATAAACATGGAAGCCTCTTGAAGAGTTAAAGTCATCCCTCTTCTCATACAGTCTTGCGGATCCTTACGCACCACTCTGAATGTTTATGCTTAGATTTACATATGAAACAGATTAACCTGTTGCACTCAGTCTGGTTCCTCTTATTTCCTCTTCAAGTGAGTACAGTGAAGGGAATTGCTTCTTTGACAATGATTGGGGGATATCATGTCAACGATATATATGAAGCATCTTGGCCAAATTCCCGCGATTTACCAATACGAGACATGTATGCGTTACGAAAGAAACAGCAAGGATGGGGGTAACAAATGGTGTTTTAGGGATGTATTCTTCTTGTAAATGCTTAAATGCTTGATGGCGTTTTAACATTCGACAAATTGCATTGCGTCTTTGACAATGGTGATCTGTGACAAATGTACCATGGTTCAAGGAATGATGCAGCTCGGGGAAAGATGAATACAAGTAAATAAGTCACTCGTGTTCATAATGTTGGGACCTTTTCTTTCAAGAATTTTCTCTCATACCACCATCATTTATCAATAATTATTCATAAGATATGCTTATGATATACTCGGAATCGTAACACTGACATTACAGAAATTTCTAATGAAAAAATATAGAAACACTTTTGTTGCTTTATTTAGGGATTGTTTTACTTCTTTGTGCATTCACAAGATAACAGTCACAAATTGTACAAAATTGCGTTGCTGTCATATCCACTTGGTAATTATTTTATCCTTTGGGTGTGGTACGAAAACATGGGCCAATATGGGCTACACTTTCTGGCTATCGGATCTAATAATAATAATAATAATAATGTGTCCATTTATATAGAGCAAAACTCCACACTGGGTATGCTCAAAGCGCTAACAATCAAAACACATTGCATTACTACCCCGAATAACCCAAGCTGCCTGTTAGGTATGTGTACACTTATGTTACTTTTTGCCGTACCATCATTGGCACATATATGTGTTCTGTGTTCGGTGAGCTCCCCTGCACGGAATATATGCAAGCGCCGGAGTAATGTATTATTACATGATGCTACCAGACGTTTTCTTCTGTCGTGTCTGGCAGCCACATGACAGTTATGCCTGTCACAACCTGTTTAGAGAGTAGATGCGATCTACGTCAGCAGAATATGTGAAAAATGTGGTGATATATGCACCATTCACCGCACACACACTCACCGCTATCAAGCTTAAGAACTCCCCGCACTGACAGAAGGAAGCGCATCTGCACTTTTTCGTATGATGTGGCGTGACTGAAAATACATACATGACATGACCTTCTTTTGGTATCAAATATAATAACGCTTTCATTCAAAAAGTCGAAGATTTTGACATTAAACTTGAACTGTTTGATATGTGTAAAATGCCTGGGAATAATTGATCAAACATTATATTCTAAATGATATCGGTAGGTCATAATAAATTGTATGTGGGATTTCTGTACAGATACAGATTGTTATACTATATCTGTGTGTATTATTCATACAATATCATGCACACATAAAGCGAGAGAACAATAATATACCTGAAGGAATATTTTAGCAAGATCATTTATGTTTCATGCTTTTATTGGATTTATTATAAAAAAAGTATTTTTTTTAAAAGTTGGGCAGTGGGTTAGCCTTGTGGTTAAAACGTTGGTTTGTTACGTCGAAGACCAGGGTTGTATTCCCCACATGGGTACAATGTGTGAAGCCCATGTGTGGTGTCCCCCGCCGTGATATTGCTGAAATATTGCTAAAGCGGCGTAAAACTAAACACATTCACTCTAAAAAGATTAGATTCCTATATGAGGTCGTAGGATGCTTACATGAATGGGATTTGATACTCTCCAGAAGCTATTAAAAGCTCATTTAATCTGTGCACACAAGAGACTGCAAAATCATTTTGAATTTACATGTATTTATTCAAACGAGTTTTAGTTTGTTTTGTATCGGGATACAATTTGTTTTGCATCGGGAAAATGAATATTGGATGACGCGGTTACCATTTAAATATTAATCGTTTTCTAATGACACTGTGCAAAATATTTGCAACACATTTGCAACCCGTTTGCATGTTTTCCTGGTATTCAGCTCATGTTTAATCTCCTTACTCTAGTCGTACATTCAGTGCTTGTGTCCACCAAGCAGACAGAAATAATACCTGCAAAATTGAAACGAACTGAATTTCGATTTGGTCGGAAATACTTTCCATTGGTATTGACGCGAGTGTAGCTCAGTTGTTAATGTCGTCTCTGTTCAGGCCGAAATGTTTAGTTTGATTTCCCACATTAGTAGTTTTCTATCTTTTTGTTCGAGTCATGATGTTACCATGGCAACAATGCCGCCACGGGCTGTAAACCGGCTACAGCTTGGCTTAAAACCGGCTTCGACATGACTGCAAACATGGCGTAACATGGCCGAACACGGCTGCCAAACAGCCACAGTAGGAGTATGTGACTGCTAAATTACACTGTTGTAAACTGTCCTCGGTTCTGCTTCTAAAAGGCTACAACACAGTTGCGCCACTATTACTGCTGCAACACTACGGCGAAATGTCTGCAAAATGGCTGCTGCCTACGCTTCTGCATGTTCAATGCGGCTGCAAAATACTGCAAAACATCTTCAAATTACTGCAAAACAGCTGCAAAATACTGCAAAACATCTTCAAATTAGTGCAAAACAGCTGCAAAACAGCTGCAAAACGGCTGCAATACTGCCACCAGCGGCGAGCAATTTACTCACACAACTAACCAATGTACAGGTAACCGCAACATTTTCCTTGCTTGCAGGTGAAAGTACAAGTGTGCGTGCAGTTTTTCAAAGTCGGCGAGATCGACACACTCAAGGAACAATACACAGCTGACGTCATCGTGCGGGCAAGATGGCGGGAGCCAAGTTTGGATGGACAAATTCAGTCGGTGAGTGAGTGAGGTTAGCCGGAAAGCATCTTGGGCGTACACGCGAAAGACACGCTGCGACAAAACGAGTCTTCTATCGTTCACACTTTATTAACTAGTATGCAGTAAAATACACATAAATGGCATAGTATCTATATGCAAATATAAATTTCTAGGGTATCTCCTCACAATAAAACCAATCGAACTCTTCGTTATAAATTTATTAGTGTTATGGCATTGAAAATATAACAATAGGTAATTTCAGGGTATTCTAATATCTAAAAACGAATCAGTAAAATCCGATGACATAGTAATGCTAAATTCAGCAACAATACAACATGTGTAACACTGCACAAAAGGATGATATTTCCAGTAATAAAAAAAACTAGTTCAAAGAAGATCAAAAAACATTCTTAGAAAGTCATTTCCACTTGAAATCCCGCCCCTGTGGCGGGTGGTTAATATATCACTTGGTTAATGGTTCCACCAACCTAAATGTCACGTCATGAAATGAAACCTTCATCCCCCAGGTCTCCTAAAACATGTCAGAAATAAGTTCACCTCCAAGGTAGATCATTATCGGAAGGAAGAGACTCTGTGACCTGTCACTCAAAGCATCAATCGAGACAGCTCTTTTTCATCCTTTCATTTTTTTATGTCACCCTGTTGACTTATGTTAAGAGATCACTTTAAGAAAATCTGTTTTAGCAATTTCATATTTGTTTATTCCTCTATACACCAAAGGTTTTGGAAGCAAAATCCGTAAACCCGGTAATAAAGCCAAAATGGCCAGGTAATATTTTAAACACACTTCTTGTTCATCAAGAAGGGCAATAGCAACCGATAGTCTCTTTCATCCCAGGAGTCTGTTACACATGCCTTTATCCTGGTTTTCTCTGGTGTATACATTGGATATATATTACCCATGTTTATAAATGTTTGATTGTGGTTATTGAATCTGATTGGTTGTTTTTACAGCTGAAAATGCTTCATAAACCAGTTTCCGAAGCTTTGGGAGATCTTGTTTCGTTTTCACTTATTGCTATATTAAATAAAACGTCCGCAGTATTTTCACAAAGAGCTTCACATTCAACTTCTTTGAGTGGCATTTTGGGAACTACAGTACAGATAAACTTTATGGATAGCAACTTCTTTATTTCATGAGAGCGACGTTTCCATACAGATTCTTGTACCGCTCCTTCTTGACAACGGTACAAGAATCTGTATCGAAACGTCGCACTCACGAAATAAATAAGTTGTTATCCCTGGAGTTTGTCTATATTGAGCTTCTCATTCAATTTCACGAACATATTCAAGTACATATTAACATGAAGTATTATGTACACACCCACGGAAAGCTCTACATACAGTGATTGAGTAAGTGAGTGAGTGAGTGAGTGAGTTAAGATTTATAGTCACATCGGCAATATTTCGGTTATGAATTCATAAATAGCGCAATTTAATTATAACAAACCCTGCGACGTAGGACAGTAAAATAACTAAACTCTACATACAGTTTACATACAAACTCTTGTATAGCTATATTCGCAACCGTATTCAAAGTGAATCATTCAAATTCACGTACACAATGACAGCACAATAAGTAAACACAACGTTTGGGCTTCGGTGATCTACCTTTAACCTGGAACGTTGTCACAATGTCATTTTTTTAACTTAAAAATCCGTACACTCTATTTAACACCGAAATGCCTAGCTACGTAATGTTTATAACACACTGAAAATTAGGGCAGTAACATACTGCAGCAACACTCCCCGTTAGCACGGTTTTCTCTGGTGTATATATCTTACCACGTTAACAAAAGTACATGTATGGCTTTTGTAAACTAATTGTTTATTTTGAAGGTTTTTTAAACCTGCTTCGAATACCAGCCTTCATCGCTGAGAAGAAGCCTTTCCCATCTGTATTAGTTAGTATTTCCTTGAAAACCTGTATTTCAACAGCGTTGCTCCCATTACAGGTACTCGTGTTGCCAGGTTTTGTCTGCTTCTCAGCATACTGAAATATCTACATCATGATATAGGTCCCAGTCTATACTAAGTACAAACAGGTGGTTGCACCATAGATCACCAGCTATCACACAAACACCTTACCGTTCCTCCCACTCGTTGAAACAACAAAGCGTCTCTACTGTTCTCTGAAGGAGAGGATTAGATTGTGTTCACCAGGGCTGAGATACAACGTGATACTGACACGCCTAACGGAATCAATTAACGAATGTTCGACCATGCCTAGTTCAACACTCCTTGGGTTTGGTGGGTGCATGTAGACAGGAATGTATCTAACTGTCTCTTCCACTTAAGTACATCATTGTTTCCACTCATCTTTATCTACTTGAGATCTCCGATCAGTAGCGAGGTGCTTCCGCGAACCGCGATGACCCATATAGCTCGAGTATTCGAGTCATTAAGCTGCCACACCTAATTGAAATTCAAGAAAACGGTTCCAACATACGTATTGTAAACATGCATTAATCTTTATGAGTTCTTTAACACGTTTTGCATATTATCTCAGCTTTTCGCCCACGCTGTTTGGTTCGGTACTACACTCTGGTTACTGAGTCCACATAGACTTTCTAAGGATGTTTTATTTACTTTTGTCATACTAATTAGTGTACGTACGTACGTGGGTGTGGGTGTGTCGCCATCTCATTGGTGAAAACATTGTTTCGGATTCTCTAATGCTTAAAAATACTTATCTTCATTAAGTCTGGCATTTTCTCAATACCACTTTTAAGGTAGCCTTATTCAGCTTGGAGAAATAGATACCCCGAGAATTCATTATTAATCTTGATTATTATTTAACCAAACCACGTCGATTTAGTTCTTTAATCCAACGATCTACAAGTCTAATCATCATGAAAGCGTTGCGCTCCTCCATTGAATCATGACGTCATCACATTCCATATCAGGTCGGTCTTGCAAGACAATCAGTTCCAAGATGAAACCACCCGGACTTCGAATACTCAATAAAACAGCAAATCAGAAATCATCTCAGCTAATGTATGCATCTAATTCCATACAAGGAAAATCCTCAAATACCGATTTTGTGGCAGTCTATTGTACGAAACACCACAAATGGGCCCGAAACATAATAAACAACACATGTACATCATCTATGCAATCAATGGACATAAACGGTTCTCAGTTAATAGTTGTTATCACCTCTTCAGTATTCACATGTGTTGTACAACACACATGCTTCTTCAATACTCTTTCTATTCTAGTTCATATCAAGTGTTAAACGCTCCCTTTTAATAGCAATGGCAGCAAGGAGTTTCATCAGTTATCTTGAGTTATGCCAATCAGGTATAATCCATTATCCATAGAAAGCCTTAACCTTAAATAATGATGAAAAAAACAACAACTTATTCTACTCTAATCATCAACATTCTCAAGTTTACCTTTGGGCATAAAAAAATGCTATTCCAGGTAGTTGGAACATTTGTTCTGAGAAAGCCTGGCGGAGGCGTTATTGCCAGTCTGTGTCAAAATCCGTTTTGGACGATTATGGTGTTATGACCAACCTGGCGGTATAACCAGAGGCCTTATAACCAGGGTGCAGTACATGATACAGTTGGAACTGAACCCAGGAAAGCAAACAGTTTACCCATATAGATATCGATAAGAAAGATCGGCTGGAAGAGAGGATGAAAATCAACGGTTTGGCAAAAACATAACGATACTAAAACTGACAAGAAAAGTAAAATACGTGCTTTTTTAATGTGTTTGTGAAGTACAACCCAACACTGAGTGTTTTCCGTCACGCTTCAGGAGTGTTGCTCATTAAACAATTTACTTCTATATAGCCAGGCTCCACCATACATCGTTCAACAGACATCGTGATATGCATAAAGTGATGGATGGCAGCGGTTTAGAGGATGTAAGTGGGCTTAAAAAGCATTTCGTGAACGTTTAAGTAGGGTAGGGCGCATTTTCGGCACGTTTCAGGCTCAAAGAAACAATTTTAACATTTCATGAATATTTTCAAGATGTGCGACCGTTTGTGAACAGTCAGGTTTTCAGATGGGATTTTTTAAATATTTTTTGTTTTGTATAAACACTATATAGTTACAACCATTATGGGACAACAAAAATGGGGGTTTAGGAAGGCAACCTAAATGAGGGTCTAGGAAGACAACCAGAATGAGGGTTTAGGAAGACAACAAAAATGGGGGTTTAGGAAGACAACACAAATGAGGGTTTAGGAAGACAACCAGAATGAGGGTTTAGGAAGACAACAAAAATGAGGGTTTAGGAAGACAACAAAAATGGGTTCAGGAAGTTTCGACAAAACAAATATTGTCTGGCAATAAGTCATACTTGACACGATTAATTTGGCATAAAAGTAGAAAATCAACGACAGAGAATGTGCTGTTGACTATTGTCAGAGACAGATTCTACTAAGAGTCAAATTGCAAACTAGCGGCAGAAAGTAGTTATGCCATACGTTTTGCTTATATGTTTACCAAATGGTCTTCTGTGGCAAATGAAACTCTCATTTAACTGACCACTAAGCACTGTGCTCACTTGAGGAACCACGAATTACCTTTATCCCCGCTTGATGGTTTAAAATGAGAGGGATTTTGTTATAAATTTAGTTTTTGAAAGCAACGACACTGTCAACAAAAGATTTATGTGAATATCTGTTGTTTGATGGGTCATGTCACAAAGACGTCACGGTAGTTAGCGCATGTTTTAGCTCTAACATTGGTTATGAAAATAATAATTTGCTGAGCGTAGGGTTTAAAAAAATTGAATAAATAATTGTCAATGGATTTCCTTACTCTGTAATGCCTAGAACAATCAACGAATTCTTTTTATCAAGTACATACACTGAGATATAATATGAAAATAACCACAAATCTATTTTCTATCGCAACACGTGCTGATCCTTTCGCCTGGATACCGGAAGTCCCAAGGCGTGTGGTCTAGGCGGAAGTACAAATGTACAACAAGCCGAATGCACGTGGCTGAATACGTTGTACGATCAATGGAAGCGTGGCACCATATGACCTGACATTTACATGCTTACGTGTTTGAATGGACATTTATAGTGCAAGGAAAGAGCTGGAACCTTAACCATTATAAACATTCACCACACAAATAAAGTAATTGTGCAGTATACTGATCCGCATCTTAGTCTGTTAGCGTATTAATACGTCCATTGAATACGCAAGAAAACCTACAATAATATCACACTGCAAACTGATGTGGGTGGCCATATATAAAATACCACTCTTATTATATATTAATATATTCAATATTCATGACATTTTCACACCGTTGATCTACCTCTTACTTTTAGTATCTAATATCTCGCTGAGTAATGTTCCACCTGAGATGTTCAATGTCTTTATTTATAAAAAAAAATTAAAACATTATCGCTATTAATGATCATACAATCGTACTAAATATATCATCGTTAGTGCACGATTGTCATGGGAAGCTTCGGGGAGTCCTCAACAATTAACATTTGTTTTCACCAATTGCTCGAAGCATTGTAATAGAGTAGACACATACATAACGTGAGTGAGTTTGGTTTAACGCCGCTTTTAGCAACATTCCAGCAATATAACGGCGGGGGACATCAGAAATGGGCTTCACACATTGTACCCATGTGGGGAATCGAACCCGGGTCTTCGGCGTAACGAGCGAACGCTTTAACCACCAGGCTACCCCACACTTAAAGAGTAAGGTCGATTTGATATTTTTCGGTTCTGTGTGGGGTTGCCAGATTTTTTTACTGTGAAAGGTGAGCCTGGCAATATGATAACAAACGAATATCATATTTTTTAGTTTAGTATAGTCAAATGATATTGGCAACATGTTTATAATGTGGGTGTTGTTGTTTTCGCTTTAACCCTGATTTACAATGATATGAAAACGTTTCTGTCGATGCCATTAATATTCAGAACTTGAAATAGAATACGCATGGCCCTGTTGTTCGGGGCAGCTCTGGTAGGATCCGCTGACAGTATGGTCGAACCCAGGTTTCACCCAATGAGGACGTTTCATCTGTCACTATCATTCCATACTCAGTCAAGATGACATTTCAGTTTATTAATCAAAATGCGTTCATAATTTGCTGATATCTCTGATTACTCTGTGTTTCAGGCAGGAGACATCCAGGATTTTCAGAAGTACTGGAACCCCAAACTATACATCGAAAACACGATAGGAGACCCTAAGGAGATCTTGCGGCACCGCCTCACATTCAACAACAGGGGGGAATGTTTTGTGTCGGAGAAGAGAATCATCAAGGGGACGTTCATGGAGAACCTGGAACTCGACAACTTTCCATTTGATGTACAGGTGAATAAAAGCAACAAAACCCTTAAGAAATCTCTGCTAAAAGCAGAGTCGATTGTAAAAGTGTAACTATATCTTGAGTATATATTTGTTTCAGCAGTATTACAGCTACACGATGCAGTTTGTAAAAAAATAGAGTCTATTTGTCCATTTTCAAGCGCCTGATAACTTTCGATGTACAGGTAAATTTGGTGCCACTTTTCATAAACCTGAAAGCTTTCCATTTGATATACAGGTAATTAGGTGTCCGTTTAAGCACCTGATAGCCTTCCATTCGATGTACAGGTAAGTTAGGTGACACTTTTCATAAAATTGGTCATTTTCTAGCTTTCCATTTGGTGTACAGGTAAATTAGGTGTCCATTTTCAAGCACCTGAAAACTTGTCATTCGATGTACAGGTAAATTAAGTTTCTCTTTTCATAAACCTGGTAGCTATCCATTTGGTGTACAGGTAAATTAGGTGTCCATTTTCAAGCACCTGAAAACTTGTCATTCGATGTACAGGTAAATTAAGTTTCTCTTTTCATAAACCTGGTAGCTATCCATTTGGTGTACAGGTAAATTAGGTGTCATTTTAAAAATAGAATCTGATGCCAAGTAAAGCCACGCCCCAGCGTTTCTATATACACCTCACAGTTCGTTACTTAAAAGAACGTACTAATTATCTGTCACGCAAGAAAACCTCCAAATCAAGAAACATGAACTGATAAACACAAATGTATATATGTCAAAACAGATATTAATATACCAAATTAATAAAACGTTGTACTATGTCTCAAAAACATGGTTTCTGTATGCTCAAAACTTCTGATGTACCAACAACTAGGGCGTCACACGATGTGTAGATTTCTTTCAACACAAACATTTCGTTCCTGTTGTAAATGCTACTGTACGAAGACCCAATTTTTCTAGTACGAATCTTTGTGCAATTCGTCAAGACAAATTAAAGGTACACATCGTGTGTAACTATTGACTGAAACAAAGCTTGTCGGCACTTGCCGACGCTGAATATTTTATAACTCCATTCATCCTTTCATCCTCCCAAACCCATCCCCTCTGACCGGATTTATTGTGGTGTTAACGGTAAATCCATTTTCATCATGACGAATGGTAATTATGTCGAACATCTGGTCCTTTACTGCACTAACCTACTGCCCACAAGAATATAAAGCCAGAATGAAATACGTGTGGTTAGGCGAGGTCATCTGGTTGATTGAAAACCATGATTAAATGCGATTTGAAGACAGGGTAATATAGCACATTTGGCGGAGTATTTACTGTTTTTGTTAAATGTGTTCCGTTTATCAGTCGAAAATATTACCCATAAGAGTATTGAATTAACAAGTGTTATACCTTCTCGTACCTTTCAGCGAATCTCGATAGAGCTTTGCCATTGGAGGTCATAAGACGTCATAGTGTGTCAAGGCTGTCTTTGGTGAAACTTCTCCGTGGGCTTTCATACCTGTTTCCTTCATTGTCTCCAATGAAAAACGTTTTGAATAATACATGCAGTTATCTACCCGAAGGTCGGAATTACAGATTACCCGCCAAACGCTTGTGATTAACTATTTATTCCCATGGGGCAAATGATCCTCAATTCCTCAGAGCTACCTATTTTTGGATAGTGACAGTCTTAACTCTCAAAGTCTAGCATAGACTAACCCTGGTTTGGCAACATCATTTCTTTCTAGCACGACTTCATTAAGTTTCTATCTCAATGCAGTGATGAGTGCCACGGCAATTTTCATTGCCTTCCTATTTACAGTGTCGTTGAACATTATGCAGATCTGTAGGTGTTGTTAAGTATTTGGTGACGGAATTCTCGTACATGATTCCCAGAAACACATGCAAATCTGGAAACATATCACGGAAATAATTTATGTATCAACATTTCGCCTGTGCTTTGAGCTTCTAGTTACCTCATCTAGCCGTTTGACTCTATGTTATCTTGTAGGAGGCTTGGGTACGTTAATGAGACATTCTCCTATGACTTTAGTAAATACTGGATTGTGGTTGGTTAATTTAAGCCATTGAAATATATATAATCACGTAACATACCTCTGATTTTCCAACACAGTATGTATTTTAAAAATCTTAATAACGCGGTTATGGTAGAATGGAGATAAACATACTGTGTTGGAAAATCAGAGGTATATAACGAAATTATAATAGCTCTAAATTTTCTATTTAAAACCTCACACTACGCGTTCGGTTTTAAATCAAGTTTAGAGCTGTTATAACTTCGTTATATACCTCTGATTTTCCAACACAGTATGTTAATCTCCTAGATATCTAACGACTTACTGAGAAACTGACGTAACCGAATTAACTGTGTACCTTTGAGAGGTAATACTTCTATCTGTGTATGGCCCATAGCTGTTGTGAAGACAGAAAATAAATTAACCAGAGAAAAAAACTTTGGTTCATTGAACCCCGTCCTCTACACTGTACGGGTAATTAGATTAAATATCTATTTCTTTTAATATTTGAGATCTCTAGACAAATTTATACTATGCAAACTGTAATAGCTGATCAAATTGGTGTTCACAGAGATATTCTCAAACAGTCAATCCACACAGTGAACTACGTTGTGATAGTACTGCGGACAAATATACTACCCATCAAAAGTTTAGACTCACTTAAAGCTCTCTTATGTATATATATGTGGTTACCTCGAAGATACATTTCTCCACTAACTTGGGGGAACCAAGTGCAAACCTTATGCAGATGAATTGCACGAGGATCATGCATGAAATTGCTGAAAAGCATGTGCAAATATCGTGCATGTGAACACCTGCGTTTTGGTGTAAAGTTTTGTTAAGAATTCGCCAATTTTCACTATTGAACTTATGACAATAATCTTTTCAACGTTACGAATTTGTTTTACAATACATCAGTTCATGTGTAAACAGTACCTATAAACAGTATGGAATATTTTGTCAAATCTAGTTTAGAACAGTTGACTGAAGTAAGTGGCTACATTTACACTAGTGAGTCGAAACTTTTGATGGGTACTATACATATGCACCACTTACTCTACCGAATTCCCGAAGCCGACGATTTTCTTCAGTGTTATACCTACCAGGCTCAGTTTTAAGGTTTGTGGCAATATCTTAAATAATATCAAGATGTTTTATAGGACAAGACGTAAATGAGTCTTGACGTCACATCGAACTATTTTATGGCATCACTGAGTGATAACCTCCAAGACACACATACGAAGATACATGTACCTTGAACATTAGTGCCCTCCAGCTCGTTTTATCCGTCCATGATCAGGATAAGCACAGTTTTAGATTTTCATGACCGACCGCCTCTGCCACACAACCTGAACCACAGCACCTTGCAAATTCTTACCTTTTGTGGCAATCTCATATTTATGCACATATTTGTTCGTACATCAAAACTGAATTGCCTCCTGCCTCACAATTTTAACAAAAATGAATGAAATTCTATTAAATTATTTTTTTGTGGGAGTCCGTCCCGTACTACCTGTACCGTGGACAGCAGCTTTCCTTACCCTACCTTGCTGAAACGTCGACGCCCATAGTGGTGCAGGAGTTGAACAATGTCTTCATCTTAAACTGGGTCGATGACAACCGTTAGAATTAAATTTAAATGATCGATTATTCCCTGATGTCAAAACTGCATGTTGCATCCTTTTAGTAACTGGTGCGTCACATTTGGACACCACATGTCTACCATAAGGTTTTGTCGGGTTACAGCAGGACAACAGGGAAAGTTGAAGTCCTCCCTGTTGTCATGCTGTCTTGTGGATACTGTAGTGTAAAATTCACAGTGCTATGTGAAATCAATGAATTGTTTAGTATCCCTTTTATCATCAACTCCAGTATTTTGAAATATCCTCCCCTCCCCTCTACGGGCAGCGTTCAAAGTGTTATCTTTAAAAAGATACATAAAGTGAAAGATTACAAAGAAAAACTTCTCATCACACTACTTTTGAAGATACCCGTGAAGATCCGGTTAGGAATTGGTCTTCAGCAACCCATACTTGTCGTAAGAGGCGAGCGGAATCGGATAGCTTGGCTCGCTGACTTGGCTGACTCATGTCATCGGATCCCAACTGAGTATATCGATGTTCATGCTGTTGATCACAGGATTGTCAGGTCCAGACTCGATTATATACAGACATATAGCTGGGATATTGCTGAGGAAAAAAACAAGAAAACTACTATATATAACAAGTTTTATGGATAACAACTTCTTTATTTTCGTGAGTGCGACGTTTCGATACAGATTCTTGTACCGTTGTCAAGCAAGAGTGATACATGAAGTGTAGGAGCTGCATATATATACTGTATATAACAATGAAACAACATAATAGACAAAGGAAACAACATAATTGCCATGATTGGCTAAGCAGTAAGCTGATGAAGCCAGTAAGTACATAAAGGATAGTGAATGGAAGCCAGAGATGTAGTTACAATGAGATGTTTATACAATGGATGCGAAGTTTATACAATAGACTGGGCTTGGTGGAGGAGTGGATCATAAGCAGATGGAATGAAGTATCCTTGGTCACGGTTGATGGTAGGCTTGTGGCGTTTGATGTGAATGGCTTCTGTGAGCTTGCGTTTAGTGAAGTCCGTTTGGTTGTTGGCGAGAATGGTGATGTCGGACCACTCTATTTGATGATTGGGGTTGGCTTTGATGTGGTCAGAGATAGCTGATTTGGTGTCGGAATTAGCAACAGAGGTGCGATGTTCTTTGACTCGGGTGTTGATGGGTCGGGATGTTTCACCTATGTAGCATTGTCCACAATCACAGTCTATTTTGTAAATAACACATTTCGGGTTGTTGTTGTTGACGGTGGGTTGTTTTCTTCCGTTGGCATGGAGGAGGTTGTTGAGGCTGGAGGACGCTGAGAAGGTAGTGTCTATTCCTGCCTGTTGTTTCAGGAGTCGGCTGATTTGGTGTGATGGTTTACCAATGTAGGGAATGGATATCTTGATGGGGGCTGATTCTGGTTTAGATCTTTTGG